GTATTAAATTTAAAGTATTAATGTAGTAAATATTAATACTTATTTATAGTAGATAAGGTTAGGTTTAAATATACTCGTAATATTTGAATAAGATTAAAATAATATTTTTTTTAAATATTACTACAATATTTAAGCAAAAATTCAATTATAAATTAAAATGCACGGTAATCAACATTTTAATTACTTCACATTTTCAATCCAATATTGTTAATTATCATGGTTAAATATTGCGTATTTTTTTATTATCAAATAATATTTACGTTACACTTTTAATTGAAATATTTATGTTTCCATTGGCTCATTAAGATTTCTGTTTGAAAATGCACTGACTCAATATTTTAATTTATAAAGACGGTGTTAAATATGTTAAATAATATTTTTTCTAGTTATATTTATTCTTATACATTACTAAATTACATTAAGCTTTATATTTGAATAACTAATCCGGTAAAATTTGGAAAAAATCCAATAAATTTAATGTAGGTATTATAATTATTTTTTCAGTTTTTGAATATTTAATATGGTAACATAAGGATATAAAAAAAAAAAAATAATAAAAAGGTGAATAGCAGCAATTATTATTACACTACACTTTTTTTCACTTGCACAAAATAATCAGGATGTGTAGTTATAAAATGCTTCGGTTCATCAGTTCATCCCATTGGTTCACTAGTGAAGTACATAATTGTTAAAGTATTCATTATAACACTGATGTCCGATAAATGAAAATACATGGCTAGGACCAAGGGAGATATTACTACAATATTGTAATTACTAATTAAATTGATTTGTTACGATGATTATGTACTTACCGATAACGTATTATTACGATGTTTCCATATTATTTACGTTTGTATTTTAATTTTAATTTGAGCTAATGAGCATTTTAAAACTGTAAGTTGTAAATTAATAAATTATATTGTATAATATAATAATAACTGTTTGTTTCTATTAGACCACTGTTATAATGGTATGAAAACATTTTTTAACTTTGAAATTGCAATGGTGGTTGATTGTTCGGACTCGAATCACCACATCCTCTCGTGTATCTACCCTGCATACCTACGTCGTCCACCTGTCCGGTATATGGGTAAAAGAGGTAAGCCATGTACAATCACGATTAACAATATTATTAAGTATCTGGTTATTGTTTTAAGGTGTACGAACCAAACACGTGCGCAATATCGCTCCGTGTTCCTAGTATGCACATTACACACGCTGCACGATCACATAATCGGCGTGCGCGCGCGCGAGTTTACTCTCTTAGGTGCGTTCACACACGCTATATAAACGCACATAATGTAACATATAATAATAATAATATGCGACGACGTATATATTTATACCGTGACCGAGTGTGGTGTTCATGTGTGTTCAGCCGTCGCATGATGAGGAAAACGTAACACATTATTATAAATAGGACCCGGATTTACGAGTATATACAATAAAAAATTAAATCGTACGAAATATCATCATACATGATAATATTATCGTTATAAAAATATGTATGTATTAAAAATATTATGCGAAATATGCAGATAGAAAAAAAATATGTATTCAGGCTTATTGAACTAAAAATGAATAAAACAAACGTACGACATGTATAAAATAATTATTGAAGTAATTAAACTGTACATTGAAGTTACATAATTCGTTAGCGCTCATTTCATTGTTCAGTGTATTTTGAGTGATCGCTCGTCAAAATAAGAATTTTAGAATATAAATCAATAAACAAAAAAGAGTAAATAAAAGTAGGCAAGTGGCTTCTGCTTTGCTGTATAATGTATACATTAAGTGTCGAGTGGATCACTGTAATGAGAGTGTTAAATTTGAATTCAATATATAATTGCATTATAAACGAAAAACGATTTTGAGTGCAGCCGGTCTTTGTACCAATATCATTAAGTGTATTTCATTATTTTCATTATATTAAATTCTTTGATATACCTACCTATTAGTAACTCAGTTAATAATACCTTGTTGTAAATACCATAAACAGTGCGAATAGGTACATAGTATAAACAGATAAAATCTTAAAATTAATCTACACATTTTGAAAATTTCATTGCGTTTAGTAAAATTTAGAATACGCATAAAACTATATAAGTTTTAAGTTCTCTCAAATAATGATTTTAAATTATGACAAAATAATTAACATCGTTGCTTGTCGATAAAATACATAATTTCTTCCAAGTTTGAATTAAAAAATATGTATAAAAACAATAATTGTGATTTGCGTTTGAATATTTTATGGTTTTTAATTCTAGTAAGAACTACTTACGAGAAATATTTTATAAAATTCTCATACATTGGTTATAAAAATTGAAGATTTTATAAATTTTTACTACAAGATACTAGTACCTAATTAGAAAAATTTCGTAATTTTGTAAATATTTCAACTTTAAATTCATATAAAAAACAACTGAGACTATGTATTTTTAAATTGTTTGTATAATTATAAGAAATAGTTATTATATGAGTATAATGACAATGAGGAATTATAATATCATTTATCGTAAAAATTTACTTTTGAAAAGGATGTAAAACTTATAAAAAGGTTTAAAGCAAAAATATTTTATTAATTTCTAACTACAAAATAATTTATAAATTTCATAATTTTAACTTTAATGCTTATAAAAAAATATTTTGACTATTATAAATTGTATCATACAGATAACATGATAGTATGAACATTTGGTGAAAATATCAAGAATCTACGAATTCATTTTTGAATTACAACAAAAAACAAAATCGATTTTGTTAAAAACTGATTTTGCGTAAAAATGTCCGTATATTTTCTTAATTTTTTGTAGTTTTTCCTGATAATCGAAAAACGACTAGGAATTTTCCAAATAGCTATCTGAAACCATTCTCATTGTTGAAAATCAAATCATTTTTACTACCTCAAAAAGTAACGACAGACAGTAAAAAAACACACTTCTATTACACACTTATCATTCTGCTTAGAATCCTAAATAGTACCTACGTTTTTAAGTATTGTTTGAAGAGTCAAATTTAACTATTAAAAACTTTGATAAATTTTCAAATAAAAATGCACGCCGGCTATTAGAAAATATGTTCTTAAATCGAGAAAAATTTCGTTCTATATCCTGTAAAGAGTATAATGTATGCCAAGTCATTATACATAGAAATTATAAAAATTGGTTTTTCGTTATCAATGTTTTCGTTGTAGTTCCAATTTAGTAAGCTATTTTAGCACACACAGTTCTATCGATAGATAATTATTATCGGTTGAGTATTGACAATAATAATTAGACCAAATGTTAACGATTTGATATATCTATTATGGGTAAAAAAAAATCGAAATATTGATGTATCTTGGTTAGGTTGGGAAATTTCATTAACTGAAACTCGGTAATTTTCTGTTAGTTTATTGAATTATACAAACTAAATAAATATGTATAAATTAATAAATTATAAATATGTACATTTTTATGTACATTGTTAATATTTGTTAAACAGTGTAGTAATTGATTTTAAAATTACAGAGAATGCTAAGCTCCTAAACAATAGTGATTTTGAGAGGAGGCGATGAAGTAACCGCCCCTTAGTACTTAGTTAATTCGCTTTATTTGTGTAAAAGTTAATTTGACAATTATTTCGATAATCATTTTCATTAATTAAATATTTATTTTTTTAATTATTTAATAGTGTAGCTATAAATAATATAGTAATATATTTGACATTTGTAAAATTGATGTTCCGTTCTGATGAAGCGCATTAACCCTAAATATTCTCAACTTAACGAAATCTCACACCTGATTTAGTTTTAATCAATCGATTTTTTATGATATCAATATAATATGGGTAATAATGTTGATCGCGCATAAAATAATAAATATAATTAGAATAAAAAAAAAAAATTGATGGTTTTTTTTTTCAATATATTCCGTGGAACATAATTATATAATAATTTTTACCGGTCGAAAAATGTATCGGTGGAATTTATGTAGGTACACCCTTAAATTCGACACCCCCTCCACCCTCCCTCCCATTACTCGGTACTGAAGACCTGACGGAACCGGTATTGCGCGCCTATAAACTGCATATTGTCACAGAACCGGAGCGATAAATTGAATGATATTATTGTATTGAGATCGGACACTGCAGGAACGGAAAGAGTGAAAGGAGTGGCGCGAAAAATAAATAAATAAAGCCGACGCCGCCGCCGCCGCCGCCGCCGCCACGTTAGAGGGGAGGCACACACGAGTCGCGTAACGTGGAGCGCCGCGGTGCGTGCTGGCGGCGCGCGCGAGCGCAAATTACCGAGCGCCGTGCGCGGGCGCGACGTGCGCGAGCGAGAAACGTCGGGCGGCCGAGAGCGAGAGACAGAGAGAACGAGCGAGCGGCGAGGGAGTCTGCCTCTCGCGGGGTGTTCCTCTAACTGCGGCCGCGTTCGAATCACGGCACGGCCCACGGGTTACTATTATTCGGACGTTATTACCGTTTCGCTCTTTCGTCTATTTATTTACATTCGGTTTTTTTTTTTTTATTTATATTATTATTATTCCCTTCTCCTAATTTCTCCCGCCGACCGACGGTAACGAATTTTTACGCGATTCCCGGACGGCGTGCGTGTGCGGGCGCGCTCTGGCCACCATCACCATCCTCCCTCGCCCCCGTCGTTCGTTGTGTGCGTCGTAGGTAAATACGCGTGGGAAAAAATTCGGGCACCCCGCCACCCCTCGCCATACCAAGTCCGCGTGGCGTTTTATTCCGATCGGTCGCCCGCCGCCGCCGCCACTGTACCGCCACCACCGTCCGTGCCGTGGCGCGGCGTATGTGCGTAGTCGGTCGTCGTTCGCATCAGTACCGCAGTACACGCACACGCACACGCACTCGACCCACTCGATGACCGCCTGCTGCCGCCACCACTACAACCGTCGTCATCGCCACGGCCGCCGCAGACACCTCCACCGCCACTACCCACAGATACGGCACTACCGAGCTGTTGCCGTTCGGTTGCGTGCTGGCCGCCATGTAGGAAATATTTTCCTCCACGCACGCACACACACGCGCACACACATTGTCGCCGCCGCCGCCGCCGTTGTCGTCGTAGTCGTCGTTTTTCGGTCGTCGCGTTTCGTATCGCCGGTGCACACGACCACCGCCGCGCCGCCGATATCGTTGTACGCCGTTCGCTCAGTTCGCTGTCGACGGGACCGCTGCAAAACGAGATGAATATAAGTCAATAATGGGCGGAATGGATACAGACCAATTATATTCCGTGCGCTGGAATGAATTCCACACGAGTATTATAACATCATTCAGACAT